GAAACGACTAGCACATATGTGCAAGGGGAAACCTTTACCTTATACGTACAGCCTTGTTGACTTGGTGCCAATCTGAATCCACAAGTTCTGCCTGTTCTGTGACTTCCCAATGTGTCTATGTGTTTCTCATTGTGACAATGAAATATTCTGGGATTCCTATTTTTGTGAGGAAATAGACATCTGAAGTTGTAGGTTAGTCTTTCCTGGATAGAATTGACAGAATTTGTCAAGGACTGAATTTGTGTTTGAATCTGCCAGTACGTATGTGTCATGGAAGGCTATTAGATTAAAAAAAGAGGTACAGGAGTACTGTTAAAAGGAAGACTCGATTGTAGATCAATGATATCAACTTTTACCTGGGAGCTAGAAGTAATAAGGGCTCTGTGTGTGCACCCATGTGCGTGCATGTGTACCATAGCAATAAATCCAAACAGGCATTATTGCAGTATAGACTTTGGTGATGAACATTGTGTTTTGTTTTCTGGAGAATGATTACAAGCATACCAACAGTTCAACTATTGAAACAGTAAAAAAAAAGTCCATGGAGTGGATTTCTAGTCGAAGCTGATCTTTCCTAACTTTCTTTCGGAATTGCTTCCTGTCCATGGAGTCAGAATTTAGAGACAGCTGCCCTTTTCTTAAAATTGAGAGGAAACTTTGGAAGGAAAGGAGTTTAGAAAACACTGTTCTGACAAAGCCATGACAATGAACTGATGATAAATGATCTTCTCAATCTTCAAGCAATGCAAGATAAATACCAAATAGTTTGAAGTAGTTTGAAGTAGTTTAGCACGCTGACGGAGGGAAGGCTCGTGTTTGTTTTCCTTTCCTCCAAGCAATAATAAAAACATACACTAGAATTATATAGAATGTCACACAGAAAGCTGAAGGCAACTGAGATTGCATCTGACCTTGGCTGTAGGTGTTTCCCAGAAGAAGTGACTCCTAGAAAATTAATTTGTGATAGCAAAGGCCTTTTAAAAAGTGCCACCTGTTTTAGCAGGACCTTAATACACTGTGACATAAAATCTGGGAACAAGAAAGGTTTTTTCGGGGGTGGGGGAATGCCTTAGTCCTCCATTAGCTTTGGAATATCTATCTGCCATTTCAGATAGCGTTTCATCATCTGCTTGTGCATCAGTAATGGCCTGGATAATATTGCTATCCCAGTGATCATCTGAATCAGTGGTGGGTTTCAAAAATTGTTCGAACCTACTTTGTGGGTGTGGCCTCCTTTGTGGGAGTGGCTTGATGCCCATGTGACCGGATGGGAGTGGCTTGCC